GGCCCAGGCCCCGCCGGGGGGAGGGGCGGCGAGCCCCCTCCCCGCCTGACGCCCCCTAGCACACGCCGCCAGGTCCGGGGCTCCTCCCGGGGCCACAGGCTGGCCGCCGCTGGCCCCCAGTTCCTGCTCTCTCCTTGGAGTTTGCTGGCAGGAGTCGGGAGCGCGTGGACCTTATGCGCTGGAGGAAGGGGTTCAGGCTGATTCCACTTGGTTGTCTCCTCATCCGAAGTTAGGAGCAGTCAGCGGCCCCTCCATCCCACTGAACTGCGGACAAATTGAGCTGGTGGCCACGTTGCCCCTCTCGCCTTCTACTTCGCTTAAGAGATCTCAAACTTACGGGCTGCAGCCAGTGCCCCCGAAGCATGCCCTGTGGCCTGGCACTAGCCCCGGAAGAATTGAGAAGCATATTCTCAGCAAACATTAAGATCATTTCAAGCAGATCATTTTCCTCAAACCTTGTCCTAGGACTTGTCTCCAGACTCATTCATCCAACCCCTCCACCCGGTAAAAGAAATGCAATGCCCCTTTGCCATAGAAATGAAATTTAGTGCTCTAAGGGGGAGCAGGACAGTAAGTTCATGGGGAGCCTAGTGACAACGATAGCTTCCTTACGCAGACTTTGTGCACGACTGTTAACTGCTGCTGCTTCTCACTGTTCATTCTAAATGGCACTTGCCTTGCTTGATAAAGAAACTATTTCAGTGGAGAAGTAATTAGTTGGCAAAGGAGAATTCTCAGCGTGCAGATAGAGGCTTAATTGAGTCTTCATAGTGTTTTACAATTTAGCTCTCTAGCTGTGGGACTTAGAGAAATATGTAAGGTGACTGATGACACCCAGGCGCCCTTAGCGTTACTGTGCACATGCTTTTGTTTACACATACAGAGTGAGTGCTTCACAAGCAACTGGTGCAAGCATTTGGGGTTAGTTATCTCCTCCCAAGTTTAAAAACGTTAACCACTCAAAAAGTTCTTGGATATCTCTTTATGTAATGAGTTTTAGATCACAGGATTAATTCAATCATGTAACAAATGCCTGTGTGTGTGTGTGCCTATATCTGTGTATACACACGCAGATTACCTAGCTATCTAGATAGAGCATGTGTGTGTATCTACCTAGATACCGAGTGTGGGTGTGCACATTCCAGGCACTATTTTAGCCACAAAAAATATAGCAGTGAGTGAGCCAGGTTAAAATCCATACTGAATTTAGCGAACACGACCATTTTAACTAAAACTAAACAGAAAAGTGATTTTTTTTTTTTTTGCTACACATTTACTGAAGTCCTGGTGGTACAGTGTTTAAAGATTTTTATTGCTGCGTAAGAAAAGGCCTATTAAATTCAAGCTACGCCATAAATTTTGAATAAGAGAAGGCTCTTTTTTTAACACCCTTCCCTATCATTGAGAACATTTTGAATGACTTAACATTGATAGTGACACAAGAATAGAAAAAGCCTGTTAAACAGAGCTAGTAGATGATGGAAAACTCTGGCATTTGAATGGCTGCCATGTACAGTAGCATGATGCTGTACCTCCATTTCTAGCAAGAGCATTGAGAGTCTCATAGTGTTGACATGTTTTCTGCTGTATTTTAACTTTTCTTTGTAGTTGAACAAATATATCCAGTACTGTACCTGCCCAATAGGAGGCACTCAGAGTGAACGAGTATAAAGAAATTAATTGGTTGTCTGTGAGGATACATTATTTTTCTAGTGACCTATTGGATATTCTGCCTTAAGAGTTTAATAATAAGTACCCTGTTGAAGTTATGCAGAGTTTCATTTGAAACATATAAAACTCAGTAGTGCTTCAGCTTTCAATTCTGTTTACCCTCCTGTCTTGTGACATTCTTTGAGTTAAATGTTAATAAAATATCTAAATATTTCTACCTGTCTTTCCTGAGTATCCCATTATTTAATATCTATTAGAGTCTCAATTTATAATTTACTATAAGTTTCTATTATGCAATGTTGGACTGAAGGACAAAATTATAGTGGAGGTTTTTATCCCCTTAAGAGTTCTATTTTTAAGAAGTGTTTTGGGAGATATCCAGTTATTTCCAAAGCATACAGAATGAAAGGGCTAGCTCAGTTACAACATTTGACGATTTGAGGAATCATGAGTATCTAATTTTTGTTGATGATTTGAGGAATCATGAGTATCTAATTTTTGTAGAAAATAAAATATATATTAAACTTTTTTCATACTTGTCTTTACCTTTTGGTTCTCAATATCTCGTCAGTTTTAGTCTTTGGGGTTTGTTCTTTTTTTCTCCTTTGACTCTGTTGATAGTTTTGATAACCACTGTCTGCTGTTGCCTAAGCTTACATGGACATACTATTTTTGTGTTCTCAGTCTGTACAGTTTTCTAACCTCTGGCACATGGAGGAATCAGCTGCAGTGGAGTAGGAGAGCCCTGGACTAAGGGTTTCAGGAGACGCAGGTTCAGACTAGAATCTCAGCTCTGGCACTTGGGATAGGCAGGACATCCTTGTTTTGACTCCTCACACTCTCTCATCATCAAATAAGTTTTGAGAACTAAGAGAGGTAATGGACAGGTTGTGAAAATGACTTATAAATGTTAAGCTGCTATACAGGTATTATCGTGGTGTTACCACAGTTTAACATGTTTGCTTTAGTCTTTAAGGAGACAGGAAAGATTTGGTGCAACTATAAACAAAAGTCAGAAGTCAAAGCAAGGAGTCTGTTGCTGCTTGGTCTTGCTTTACTAAAATCCTGTTGCTGAGATGCTTTCCACCGGGGGCTCTAGTCCAGCAATTGTTACCAAAGTCATGATTGAATGATACTTCTTTTCAGTGTCATGGCTGGGTTAGAATTCTGTGCCAGGGCCAAAGTAGGAAGAAAATGGATTTTAGAGATTATATTAAGGTCTAAATATGTATGTATCTTCTCATTTGCAAATTGAAGCGTTCCATAGAAATACATCATCCCAGGCAAGTTAATAATCATAAAAAAGAGAAAGGAAGCAAGAATGATGATAATTTTCATTTGTATTAGTATCAGATAAATATCATTGCCATTTACAAAATATCTGATGACACAGAACAAGCAGTAAGTGCTCAGTAAACGTTGAATGAATGAATCAGTGAATAAGTAATTATAAACGAATCCATTTCATTCATTAAGAACTCACTATGTACAAGACATTGTTCAGGGAATTGTGAAGGAGAATACATGATTCCTATCTTTAAGGAAGTACATCTGTAAGCCTAGCAGGCCATAGTAATTTAATTTAGGCCATTTAAGTCTAGTAGGCCTTCAATGTGTGGTTTAGAGGTTCCAAAGAATTTTTCAGTTCTGTTAAAATACAAATAACTCCCGTTGAACTAAATTCTAGTTTACTGTTTCAGTGGTTTACCTGACAGAATAATGGATATATTTTGTGCTGTACTGTTTTATGATGAAATAAGCATTTGCCACTAAATGAGGGAATGTTTACTACTACAAATAAAATCCACGTGAAAGTATTCTGGAAAGCATGAAAACAAGTTATTAATAAAAGAAAGCAAAATGAAAACTGCTTAACTGTTATGTCTTAGAGATCCTCAGGTGCTGTGGGGAGATCTCTCCTTGTTTGCCTTCACACATATGCACCCCACACTCCCCACAGGCGTATCTCGTTACATGCCCAGGTGAGGGAAGATTGTGGTGCTGTGTGGTTTTAAGAAGCCTTAAAGAGGTTTTCTGTGGTTCACCCACCTGTCACCCTGTGTCTCCCCATCCTTTCCCCCCTTGAGAATTACTGATTTTATAATAGGATAAGGAGATAAACTCTGACAAGTAGAACATGGTGGTAGAATACAATTATGTTTAAAAAGTCTGTTTCAAGATTCTGCCATTAAAGTTGTTGCTTCAAATAGTATACTAAGAATTGCTAAATATAAGATAATGTATTTTAAATTTCAGAAGGACCTCATACCTTTGTTACACATGATTAAAGAAAACAACCCTTCAGTTGGTGGATTTGTGAATGCTGCTTGTTGTCCTGTGCTGGGCTCTGCTTAGAGATTTTGCCAGAAATGTAGGCAGTGCAGCACTGTGCCTGTGCAGTACTTAATGCTTTGAAACTAGGACTAAAGACTGATACGTTCCCTCATTTTTAGCTCCTTGAAAGTGACTTTTAAAAATCTAATTTTGTGCCTTTTTAAGTTTCCTAATGTCTTTTTCAGACCCTTGTCAATTATATGATCTTCAGAGACTTCACTTTATTGCCATTTCTGCCTCCTTAATGATATCTCTTAAGCTTGGTGTCAGACTCCTTTGGTCCATCCTTATTAAAGCCGCTGGAGGCTGGCATGACCCTTGGCTGATTTGATTATACATGTGTTCTGCAAGTGAAACCCTAGATACCAGTGTTGCAACCTCATAGCCTCCAAAGCATTTTGGTAATCTTGCTAGACTTTCACTTCAACAGTGCTGGAGCTGACAGGGAAAGTCATGAATTCAGGGAGATGTTGGGGAAGGAGATGTTTTCAGTAACTTGCCGAGGGAGGCTAAACTTTTATATGTGTGATTTCTACAGAATACATAAAAGAATCTGCCATACTAGAATGTTTGAATTTCATTTTAGTTAATAGTGTACTACTATTTTTTAAAATAAAAATAAAAATAAAAATAGTTATTTCCTCCAACTTTCATTTAGAAGAATTTGGTGATTCTTCTTGTCAGAGCAGTCTTAGCAGTT